TACCTATGTGCTAATACTTTACTTCCATGAACGTTACGTTTTATAACTGCACAGGTACAAAGATTCCTTGCGTATTTAGTTACTTAGGAATTTCCACTCCAAATGGCTGTCATTGGCAAGCACCAAAAATAAGAATTAAAAGAAACAGAACAAACAGAATAACAGTGTCAGCAGTACAGGTAGTCCTTGACTTACATCCATTTGAGCCGAACATTTCCTTTGCTAAGCAAGACAGTTAAGAGAGTTTTGCCCCATTTTATGACCTTTCTTGCCACAGTTAAGTGAATCACCACAGTTTTTAAGTTACCAACATGATTGTTACCTGAATCTGACTTCCCTATCGACTTTGCTCGTCAGACGTTCACAAAAGGTGATCACATGGCCCTGGGATACTACAGTAGTCATAAATACATTATAGTTGCTAAGCATCTGAATTTTTATCATGTGATGCTGCAGCTGTTGTTAAATATGAAACACTCTTATAAGTCACTTTTCAGTGTCATCATAACTTCAAACTGTCACTAAATGAATGGTTGTAAGTCAAAGACTACATGTAATGGCACCATTGACTAGATCCTAAACTTGGCATCTCCAATACTTTCAGAACCAGGTTCACTTTATTTCAGAGCTGCATCAGGAAGGTGGTGATCTGAATATTTAGGGAGAAGCTATTCCATGGGAGGAATGCTAACATTAAGAAATCTCTACTGTGTTCTCACTGAACTCCTTAGGGCAGTAGTTCCCAATCTTTTTGGCACTAGAGACCCGGGCGGGGGGGGATTGGTTCAGTTTTGCTTGCTTGCTCACTGCTCATTTCCAGCTATGCATCCCAGTTCCTAACACAGAATACCGGTCAGTGGCCTGGGGATTGGGAACCCCTACCTTAGGGGACAGACTCCTCAGGGGGGATCTCTGTCAAGGATCTTACAGACTGATTCATACTGGGATATTGGAATGTCAGCCAGTATTGTAATACTGAAAAATATTTTTAAAAGTTGACTGTTTTAAATATTGCAAAGTTATGGTGATATTAAAATAAACTGCAAGGCACCTAGGCCATACGGAAGTACCACTAAATTATAGATTAGTCATGAAACCCAGAACATTAATTGAATTAATTGCATTTGCATCAATTTATGGCTTCAGTTGCTTGTTGGTGGTTCATTCCATTTCCTGAAATGTTAATATTTTCTCATATTTAGAATGTAGATATTACTGACCACAATGGATATACCCCTCTGATGCTGTCAGCCCACAAAGTAATTGGGTGAGTAGTGATTGCTACTGCTCAATTCAGTGAGATTTTCTAAGGGAAGAATATGCAAAATATTGCTGTGCTTTTAGGAAAGCAAAACAAGTTACATTGTTTGTTACCAAAACTGTTGTTCTCTTTTCTGAAAGAAAAGTTTTATGAAATACATAACAGAGCTACCACAGTATGGCATTGAAGAAAGAATTTATCTTTATTCCATGCTAAGTTCTGTATTGCAAAGGAAATCATTTTGATAGGTTAATTCAATGTCTTGAATTAAAAATTATTCTTTTTCTTGTTTAGTTTTTATATTTTTCAATGAAATTTAGAGTTTTGGAAAGATCTTTGTAGGATAGAGTTTACAGTGTGGAAAAATTTCCTCTATTGCATCCTAGATGTTACAATATTGGACTACTTTATTGAACTATTTGCTGAGGACTTTAGTTATTCTATATATGGTTTGCTCANGAAAAGAATGGTCCCCACTTAATTTTATGGTATTAAACTAAGCAATAGTAGGAAATTGGCACGTATGCCTCTCATGGAGATGTGCAAAAGATGTACCTAATGGGAGAAGGAAAAAGTTATTTAGTAAAAGTTTTTTTTTTAATTGTCAGTTATATCCCTGCCCTAAACATTATTTATTTTGTGATGCTCCCAAAGCACCAGTTTGTCATTTCCGGTAACTATCTAATAAAGTGTAGCCACCTGATGTAAAGAATAATTAAGATGCTCAACATCACATTTTGAATACCACTGAATAAATGCATCAAAGAAGACTAAATTGCTCACTTTGTTTAATATCATGCAATTGTCACATGTTTCATCCCAACACATGTGCATACCAAGAGTAATTAATTTATTTAGGTTCCTTACATCACAATGCAAAGGACAGTGTGACTGATTTCAATTCATTTTCCTCCTACCTAGTTGAGCAAGTTCCTATTTCTTGAAAATTAGTTTTTTTGTTAGCAAATCAGCACGAGATTTGAGTAGGCAACTGCAAAAACAACAAGGGTTTATGTTGTTTTTGCAGTTACAAAATCATTGTTCCTTTGAGGGTATGTGCAATGCAGTTGGGGCATTTCCACAAAATCAACATTAGGATCAGAGAAGTGATTTTATTCAGACCATAGTTGAGAAGAAAATTTTTGATCAAGAAATGTATTAATTATTCATTTTAATTTACAGTGTCAAAGTCACAGCCATGGGTCCTTCCGTCATGGCCACACTTGGGCTAGTTCGTATGAAGATAAAGATCTATTAAAAGAGCATGAGATGCTGCCTTTTGTGGAGGATTACAGTAATTTTGACATTGTCAAAGCAGCCCAGTAGGTTTCTTGAACAATCAAATTTATTCTTATATCACAATTATAAAAAAAAATTAAATATTAGCCAAAGTATATTTTATAGGAAAGTGTGTGCATATAAAAGATGCTGTTAACAGATAATATAATTATGAATGATTTCTACAACTTAAAAAATTTATTGTAGAAAAATAAGTTGTCTCTTTTCACACACATATACAAAGCTCTATTTCCAGGGCTTTGTGAGAAAAAATAGTATTTACCTGTGGTGAGCTCAGAGATCGCACAGAATCAAAATGTGATATGTTTTGTTTTGGTTTCCTTTTTTATACAAATCCTTCCATTGCAATGGTAAACCATGATGAAGTTTTTGTACAGATGTAGTTTGTATAATAATATGTGATTTGGAATGGCAAAGTATATTCCTAAGAAATATGAACATACCTATAACTGAAGTGAGTAGTAATTTCAAAACNTGGCCATTTTTCAACTAACTCTGGCAACTTCCCAAATAAATACCATCAGGCTGTATATAGCCACATAAGAGATATAAAACTGCATCCTTCTCCCAATAACTCAAAATTATGAATACAGATAGTGATTTACAACCACAATGAAGCCCAACATTTCTGTTGTTAAGTGAGGCGTTTGTTAAGTGAGTGTTGCCCCATTTTACGACCTTTCTGGCTGCTGTGGTTAAGTGAATCACAGGAGTTGATAGATTGGTAATCCAGTTATTAAGTGAATCTAGCTTCCCCATTGACTTTGTTTGTCAGGAGGTCATAAAAGGTGATCACATGACCTTGGGACACAGTAATGGTCATAAATATAAATCGGTTGCCAAGCAGGAGAATTTTGGTCACATGATTATGGGGATGCTGCAAAGGTCATTACTGTGAAAAAGGATCCTATCACTTTTTCCAAGGCCCTTGTAACTTTGAACTGTCACTAAATGAACTGTTGTAAGCCGAGGAGTACCTGCATCTCTTTCACCTCCATGACCTCCTGATCACGTAGAAGTCAGAGAAGAGCGCTCTTTGGCTTTAGTCACAAGTTCTCAGGGGGGCATTTATTTGTTTTGTTTTATTTATTTGTCAATCGTTTACAAGATATTAGGTATAAGAAACAGAAGTACGAATGAAATGGGGACAAATAAATGGGGACAGTAGGACAGGGACATAGGCACAATGGTGTGCTTATGCATGCCCCTTACAGACCTCTTAGGAATGGGGTTGAGTCAATAGTAGAGAGTTTAAGGTTAAAGTTTTGGGGATTTGAAGATGTAACAACAGAGTCAGGTAGTGCATTCCAGGCATTGACCACTCTGTTGCTAAAGTCGTATTTTCTGCAATCAAGTTTTGAGCGGTTTATATTGAGTTTGTATTTAAGCTATTTTATTACTATCTTTAAAAGTTCGTTACAGTTACGGGTTTCCTTCCCGCTCTGAGGGAAGCTGACTATTATTACGCTGCAATGTTCATCCTCTGCCAACATTGATCCGAAGCTCCGGAAAAGGTTCCGTGGAAGGAGGGGCGCCGAGAAGGGCTCTCGCCCCGGCCACCGACTGCAAGCCACCTCCAGGCCGCCAGGGGCCCGGTTCGGAGTCCCGGCTCCTGTGGGCGTGACCGGAGCGCCTCCTTTTCTCTTTCGAGGGGCTGGACCGTGGGGTGTGTTTCGACGGTAACCAGGAAGTCGGACCAGGAAACTCCTGGGGCCGCCAGGCGAGCGGTGACTCTGGACCGGTGACCATGGAGGGCGCTGGACGCGAAGTAAGTACCAAATGGCCGGAAGGCGAGCCATGAAGGAAAGTCCGAGAAGAGGCCTAAAAGGCAGGCAGGGTATTTATTCGCTGAGATTCAGCTCCGCTGGTTCCTTCGTGATCCTCGGAGGAGTCGGGGCCGACGGTTGGACGCGGTTCTTTCCCCCAAAGTCGAGTTCGGCCACTGAGTTGATCATCTCATGGCACTTTTCCACCTTCATTTTGTAGTAGGATTGGGTGGTCAGATATAGGCAGACGAGCACAACTTTGTTACTCCTCACCACCCCCTTCTTCTTCTTCTTCTTCTTCATCATCATCCCCGGGGAGACGTACTTAGCCCAGGAGAGTTCATTTCAATCTCCGAATGAGAAAGGAGGGATTAAAATAGGCGGTGTCAGCCAAAAGAAATAAGTGGGCTCAGGTTCCTGTAGGAGAAACTGCTCTGGGAGATCACTTGAGTCAGGGGAAGTTATCACAGTGACTCTGGGTGAATGAAGTTCTGATGACCTGCTTGCTTGTCTCGGTCTCCAGCACAAACATCTCAGAAAAGATGTCTGTGGAGATTCTCAGTCATCCAGGTGATGGTTGTCCCAAAGGAAACTTTTTCAAAAGGCAACTGGAAGAATAAGCGATGAGAAGTAAAACATCTTCAGGCAAAAAACAAAGAATGTCCAGTTGCCTTTAGAAAAAGCACCTTTGGGGATCTCAGAGAGGAAGACCTTAGATGCAGTGTCCCAAACCTAACTTGATGAGGGGTCTAGACTGCCTCTATGCCTCCAGACCGAGAGCTGTGATTCAGTTTTTCTGACTACAGGTTTGTACAAGATTTGACAGAATATCAGCAGGTAGAAAAGCCAGCACCACATAGACAGAAATCATGGGTGGGCTTTCAGCACAAATGTTTCCCTACTGAGTCTACTAGATATTTTGATTACCATACTGGAATCTTAAAACAAATATTTAGTTGAACATGATATCAGTGTATCAGTCTATTAAACAATGAATATTTTAATATAATGTTTGAAAAGATTATTTCTTCTTGCCATGATATGTCAAATGCAACTATGAAGGGTAGCTTTATATTTTAAAAATGAAAATTATTTAACTTAATAGTATTTATCTTACTGTTTCCAAAAACTATCTTCATGAATGATTTTTGCTAGCACAGGTAGCAAGGAATTGTTTTTTGAGGTCAGTTCTCCCCAAAACAGTTTCTGTAGAAAAGAATGGTCCCCACTTAATTTTATGGTATTAAACTAAGCAATAGTAGGAAATTGGCACGTATGACTCTAATGGAGATGTGCAAAAGATGCCCCTAATGGGAGAAGGAA